TTTGTGTGTGTTTGTGCCTTTTATATGTATTTGAAGGTGTGCTTGTGTGTGAGGCATGCTTGAAAGAAACTGTGCTAAAATGATCAACTACTTAAATCCAGTTTCAAAGAATTCTTGCTTTATTTGGGGGGGTAACATAAGCCCTCAAATGCAGTTCATGAGGTTTGGATATAGTATGATCAAATGATCAAAATGCCAAGATCCAATGTCTTTTTATTCAATTCATTTTTACTTTAAAGAGCGAGGTATTTGTGAACGAGGTGGTGCGAGTGAAATTACTTTACTGTATGTTGTTTTTGTGTGTGTGTGTGGGGCTTAGAGTGGATCATGTGCAATATGTGTGTATGTGAGAGAGTTTGCATAAAGGATGATTCATGCCTCCAAATTCAGTCATTTTGGTTGAATTCATCTTTTACTTTACCAAGTCACTGAGGAATCCCAACAGATGAACATCTGCTCGTGTATGTGAGCGAGCGAGCGAGCAGCAGGCTTGTTGCTGTAGAGATGTCCACAGTTGACTGACATTCTTAAGACACTTCAATTACAGCTTATAAGATGTAATTGGGATACAAATTTTTCTCTGTTTGTCTTGTTTCGTGTTTTGTTTTTTCTTTTTCTTTTTTTGTCTATGAGAAACGTATTAAGTATAGTCTAACTTTGAGCAGCATGTACAGAGACATTGATCTGATCATGTTAGAGCAGACAAGTAAATGTGTTTATGATTGTGTAGCAGAGTATTTCTTTGAATGCTAAACCATTAAAGTGTATTACATTAACCTGAATTCTTTACATTAAAGTATAGGGTAAATTAAAACTGTTTTTTGTTTTGTTTGCTTTTTTTGCTGAAAATTGGTTAGGAAGCAGTGTACTTCAATGTTAAAGTACACTATTCGATTCAATATTCTTCAATGTTAAAATGATACAATATAAACAAAAGTATAGTGTACAATACAATGTACACTGAACAATTGTACAAGAATGAACATGGAAAATATATGAACATTTTCAATGCACAGTGATCTTAAATATGATGGACTTGGTATTTAATGGAACTTCTTACGCGTATATTGACGCATTTTATTACACACACACGAGCAAGGATTAGTATAATGTAGAGCACTGTAGAGCACCGCAGTAGAGATAGTTTGCGGTTTGATATTCAGATTTCTTTTGGCTATGAATACGCAGTGCGCTGTCATAGACATTCAAATAATACCGAATATCATTCTCCATGATTTGTGAATTCAGGTGACACTGACCTTCGGGCCGAAATTAGGTTGTTATCTTTTTTTTCGTAGCGACTCTTAATTTTATAATGCCTATAGCTCCAAAAGTTGGACGCTTAGAGGGACCAGACTGCCTACTGCAAGCAGCTGCTGCATTCGTTGTCGGCACCTTAATAGAGCTGCTCTAATAGAGGGGTAGTGCATCCTGACAAGCTCAATACGACCATCAGGATGCGCTACCAGCTTAAACAATGAGGTCAAATTCATGATTAAAGTGGGGAATTAATGACAACAGAATGTCAGGAGGCCAGTTTCATGCCTCGTGAACGACGCTTCTTTTTACAGGTGCCTGTCTAACGCTTTATCAAAAGGTTGCTTATTTTAACACACTGAAGTCAGTTTCGTTATACAAAGACTTTTGCACCCATTCAAGCCAGGGAATGAGCACCCCCTGCTGGCTGGACTAAAACTAGCTGCAGCAGAAAGCTACATTTTCACAAATGGTCTCCCACCAGTGTACTGACCAGACTCTGGCCTGCTTAGCTTTAGTGAGGAACCAGTCTCTGCCTACTGCATGCAACAGCTACATTTGTATTCTGCGCGTTAATGAAGCTGCTCTAATAGAGGGGTAGTGCATCCTGACAAGCTCAAAACTTTTGCACCCATACAAGTCAGGGAATGAGCACCCCCTACTGGCCAGACTAAAACTAGCTCCAGCAGCAAGCTATTGTTCACGACGGCCTAGAATCTGACTAGGGTATCCTGACAAGCTCAATACGGCCATCAGGATGTGCTACCACAGGGGTGCCCAAACTCGGTCCTGGAGGGCCGGTGTCCTGCAGAGTTTAACTCCAACTTGCCTTAACACACCTGCCTTCAAGTTTCTAGTATGCCTATTAAGAGCTTGATTAGCTGGTTCAGGTGTGTTTAATTGAGGGTCAAATTCATGATTAAAGTGGGGAATCAATGACAACAGAATATCAAGAGGTCAGTTTAATGCCTCATGTGAACAACGCTCCTTTTTACAGGTGCCTGTCTAACGCTTTATCAGAAGGTTGCTTCTTCTTACATTCTGAAGTTCGATTCGTTATACTAAGACTTTTGCGTTCAGTTTGGGTCTGCTGACCTGTAGTGAACTGTGAAAGTGTTCACAAATCAAAATAGTGATGTAAATGAATCAGGGAAGGGTTAACTGACCAACACTCCACTGTGAGATTTTTCATGATCAGAATAGTTAAGGAATCAAGAAAGGGTTAACTGACAAAAGCTATACTGTGAAACTTTCGCAAATCAGAATAATGAAGCCAAGTACTCAAGGAAAGGTACAACAACCAAAACTTTATTATCAAACAAAGTGTACAAGTGTATATGTGTATAAGCTCAAGCTGGTGAAGATGACACCGGTTTCATTCCTCTTAAGTGTCCAACTTTTGGAGCTATAGGCATTATAAAATTAAGAGTCGCTACGAAAAAAACCCTGATTTCGGCCCGAAGGACAGCATCACCTGAATTCACAAATCATGGAGAATGATATTCGGTATTATTTGCATGTCTATGACAGCGCACTGCATATTTATAGCCAAATGAAATCTGAATATCAAACCGCAAACTATCTTAAAGAGCGCGAAAAAAACTCTCAAATGAATTAGCGGTGCTTTTCACTAGTTCAAAGGACACAACTCCGAAATGTTGAATGGTTATATAATACTCTAAATACTCTACGGTTTATAAATAAACTAGGCGGAAACAAGAGGCAGCTTCTCTGACCTAATTATCAGAACCATCAGAACCACAACGGATAAAGACTACAACTCCCACAACTCTTTGCGCTCATCGGTGACGTGGCCAGCGTTACCCAGCAGACCGGGGCGATTTGAACTGCATTTTGGATGCAAGTAATTTTCTATTTCATTTCATTCTTTTCAAACTATTTCACCGGTGGATTTTACTTTGTAAGTGATAAAATACAATCTCCTTTATTAAAGCCGGTAATTTCGCATCACAATGTCCGGGAAAATCAAAAGCAGGAGTGCTGCAAATGCCGACTCAATATCTAGCAGTGTGTCCTGCGACGAGCGCATCTTACGGGACTGCCACCAGATGTACACCGATCCGGATAGCGGTAAGAAACCGGTCCCTTTAGAAGCGATTACATTCTCATTGACTTACCTGGTTTAGTACGGTATTAGAGCTGTCTACAGGCGTAGATCGGAGGTGCTAACGGTAGCCGGTGAGCTAAAATGCCGGTTGGTATGTCAAGTATGCACTTCAGAGGGCGAAGTGTATTTCACCTGTTTGTTTTTATAACTGCAGTCATTACATTTACCGTTTAATTCGTTACTGTGTCCTCCAAGCAATACAAAACATTAAAGTTTTGTTTTTAGTGCTTCAGGTTTAAATTGTATACAGTTTTTGTCTTTTGCTGTGATTGTCACTCAGTGGGTGACATTAAAGACTGCGGTCAAGCCAGCCTCCACTTTGAAAAACACGGTCAGTCTAGCCGCCACGTTGTTTTGTGGTGCGCGCATATACTAGGTAGTATACGGTATTACGGTAATGGCGTGTAAAACTCAGATCAAAGAAAAAGTGATCTCTGGCATTCATTTATTGAGCCAGTTTCTCTGTCAATGAATGAATTAATATATTTAAAATTATACAAATGTTTAAAAAACGGTCTGATAAAAATGAAAATGACTTAAAATGTTGAGTAATATTAAATGTAGAATTTTCAAATAAAATAAAAATAACTGATGAGAAATAACAAAATAAAACCCTTTCATGAACTTGCATATAACCATATTTATCTGTAAATTCACAGAGTTATAAAAAGAAAACTTCCTGTTTTCACCAAAAAAGTTTCACTTTTGATTAACAGTAGACCAGTCCAGAATGAATCAGGGAAGGGTTAACTGACCAACACTCCACTGTGAGATTTTTCATGATCAGAATAGTTAAGGAATCAAGAAAGGGTTAACTGACAAAAGCTATACTGTGAAACTTTCGCAAATCAGAATAATGAAGCCAAGTACTCAAGGAAAGGTACAACAACCAAAACTTTATTATCAAACAAAGTGTACAAGTGTATATGTGTATAAGCTCAAGCTGGTGAAGATGACACCGGTTTCATTCCTCTTAAGTGTCCAACTTTTGGAGCTATAGGCATTATAAAATTAAGAGTCGCTACGAAAAAAACCCTGATTTCGGCCCGAAGGACAGCATCACCTGAATTCACAAATCATGGAGAATGATATTCGGTATTATTTGCATGTCTATGACAGCGCACTGCATATTTATAGCCAAATGAAATCTGAATATCAAACCGCAAACTATCTTAAAGAGCGCGAAAAAAACTCTCAAATGAATTAGCG